TATGCTGAGGACCATTGAACATATATTATATTTTGATTCAGTTTAATCATTTTAAGTTGTAAAAGAACCCTTAATAGAAAAAATATGTATGAGAATACTTCCAAGGTTGGCAGAAAAATAGAACTAAAAGATAATTTTGGTGCAAAGAAAATTTTGAAATCTGTGCATAATTTTTTTTCATGATATGAACTTCAAAAAATTTATTTATTTATTTGAGAGACAGAGCACCCATCACTAGCTCACTTCCCAGATGCTTGCAGTAGCTGGTAGGCAGGAGCTAGGGAATGCAAATCCACAGCTCTGATATGGGTTGCGGGGGCCCAAGCACTTGAGCTGTCACTGCTGCTTCCCAGAAACTGCAGTGGTGGGAGGCCGAAGACAGTAGCCAGAATCAGGAATTGAACTTAGGCACTTCAGTGTGAACATTGGAGTCTTAAATGCAGGTCTAAATTACCCTACTCTGAGTTTTATGAAGACCCCCTTGTATAATTACTTGATTTGTGGATTGTATATGTGCAAATAATCACACTTCAATGATAGAAAAGTGCTGTTGGTTATCTTCCTGAGCATTTAAAAGTATCTTTCAGTTTTATTACATGAATAGGTATAAAGCATAGAAACATTTTAATTTTTTCTGTGATATTCAGTATTATAATAGATTCAAACCCTGTCTTCAAGGAGGCTTAAGACTTATAGCCATTTATTGAGAACTTATGTACTAGTCACTATGCATATAATTTGGAGGAATTACCTTCTAACCATTAGTTTTTAACTGTAGGCCTAAGGAAACAATTTATTTACATTTATATCAGATATATCAGCAGAAAATAGTGATATGCATGTTTCAGGCTAGTGTATCTCTTAATTGTTTTTCCCTTCTGTCTTTCCATGCTTTTTAAGGGAGAAGTGATTTTTTTTTTTTTTTTTTTTTTTTTTTTTTGGATAGCTCTATATGTAGCTTAAGAGATAGGTAACATTTGTTAGAGTGCCTCCTGCTGGTAGAGCAGAGATTTTCAGTCCTTGTCTCGGGAATTGGTAGTGCCCACTTGTGGTTGGATTTGGGCCTGCTTGTAAGGCTATAAAATGGCACTGAGTCTGTTGCATTTAAGGTATAAAGTACTTCTTTAAACAGTCTATTTCTAGAAGCTAAATTGTCCTGGGACTCGCTCTTGATATAAAAATTCATAGAAACCTCTTTTTCACAGAGTGTGGTAACTCCTTGCCATAGTGCTGTAGTGTTAAAATTCACATTGGCCAGGTTGTTCTGTAAATTAAACACTGACAGCTACCCTCAGGGGAACAGCCAATGTATTTATGATGATGTGCTGATTACACAAAATACACTGCAAGCAGAAAACAGCTGCAGAGAACAAACCTCTTAAAAAGAATACAATTACAAATAGCACCCTCAGTATTTCTAGTGGTGAGTGTGGAATACAGCATGCTAATGCAGCTTTCTTACAGAGTCTGCCTCAAAACAAAACAAAAATCTGCAGGATATAAGTTAAATTATGGTTGAATGCACATGTGGTGCCAGCATAGCGCAACGTAGCTGTGAACAAATTTCCTTTCTGAAGAGCTGGACTGTGAGTGCACAGATTTCAGGTGTGGCATAATCCAACATGCACCCCACTTTTTTTTTTTGGTAGATTTTATTAGTGCTTTTCTCATATAGTAGGGCATGGCCTTGAAGTGATAGGGTTCTAGACACTTGAAGGATATTGCATAATGAGTTGGGCAGGAGGGATATCTGCATTGTGGTTTAAAATTTCTGGTGGAAATTTGGGGCGTTAGGATTTGTAAATCAGCATTTCCTTTGAAGATGCTGTTCTGTATTTTCAGTGTTATTCATGCGTTTGATGATGTCTGCCCTTGGAATTAATAAAGAGAGTCATGACTATATCTGTGCTAAGATCTTTCTAATTTCTTGGGTTCTGTTTTTTTTTTCCCCCCATTATGATGTTTTAGGACACTGGAAGCTAGGTGATTGTCAGTTTTTAATGGAATCAGTTCTCAAGTGTACTGCTTTTTATTCCTACAAATTATTGGATGAATGCATATAAGTAAAGAGATTAGACAAAATTTTAGTTTTCCTGGTTTGAGATTGTTTTAGAGCTCAGGATTAGTGTCTGTGAAATATACTTCAACTGCTGTGTGCATTAGCTTCTGTTTAAATCAGTAGAAAATATGTTGATCTTCCAAGACCATAAATTTACTCAAGCCAACTGTAAGGTATAACAGAGGGACGTAGCCATTGGAAACAGTTCACTTCACCCGCCTGAAACTAAGAATCAACTCTTCAGTGTATGGATCACTGGTAGGTAATAATCGACTATTATTGGTCTGTCTGTTGGTCTCTTTTTAAATCAGTTTGGAACCTCCTGGAGTTATTTTCTTTCTCGGCTGACATCAATCCCATGTGGCAGAGGAGTTGTGTATAATCGCTTTGGTTTAATCAATAGAATAATTGATAAACCAGATAAGATTTAAACTGATTATAGCCCCAACAGAATTCCCCAGGGGCCTTGGACTCTCTTAATTTTGACATGTGTGTTGTGTACCCTGAGGATGAAGTGCAGTTTGAATTATCTGTTTTTATTTGCTTAATGACGGGGAGGGTGTTAAAGTCAAATGTTTAATTAACCCAGCAATGGGCTGCGTTGTCACTTACACACAGCTGATTGAGATATCTCATGGAGAATACTGAATAGGAATGATAATGTGGCACTGGGACGGAAGATTGCTTTTTCAATCCATTTGCTGGGTCACTGCTTTGAATGTCTTATTGGATGAAAGGCATTCAGCCTGGAGAAAAAATTCAGCATTTAAGTACATTTTGTTCTCTTCTCCCCCACCAACACCCTCCCTGCCCAGAAGTTAACTAAAACAGATATGTTCTAGGTTTAATAAGCCATTCATGTACTAGTAAGAGATCAGGGTGGTTGGTAGCCTCAAGCTACATAATTTCCTTTAGAAACAGAAAAATCTTCGTAACCTCCAAGGTATTCTAAATGTGAGCTCTTTTGTCCCTCACATCCCTTGTCCTTGCCATTACTGTGGACTTATCTTTGGTTACTTGTCTCCTGCCTCTTTTTTGTAGTGTTTGGGTGCACAGCTAACTTTAGGGCCACAGGCCAACCTTTTTCTCCTAAAGAAAGAAGCAAATCCTCTATAATTGTTGGTATTCATACAGCTGGCTTCTATTTGGTTACAGTTTCTGATCAAACATTATGGTGAGACTTGAAAACTAGTCATAGTTAAAAACTTGAAGTCTAGAGATTCTTGCTGCTTTTGCTATTGCTGTTACACAAACAGTTGGTGTCATGCATATTTCATTTTGTTGAGAAGCAGTTTGCCTTCCTCATGAACTGAAAAACTAGGCCCAGGCCAGAAAAGATTCTAATAGCCCACACCATCAAAAATGCAGCCTAGGCAATTGGAGTTTTAATGACTATAACCCACAAAATATCTGACTAGCTTTGTAATCAAAGTAAAATTCTTTGAAGGCATATGAGCAAAACTTAAATTTTTTTTTTCTTCTTCTTTTTTTTTTTTTTTTTTTTTTTTTTTTTTTTTTTGACAGGCAGAGTGGACAGTGAGAGAGAGAGGCAGAGAGAAAGGTCTTCCTTTTGCCGTTGGTTCACCCTCCAATGGCCGCCGTGGCCAGCGCGCTGCGGCCGGCACACCGCGCTGATCCGATGGCAGGAGCCAGGAGCCAGGTGCTTTTCCTGGTCTCCCATGGGGTGCAGGGCCCAAGCACCTGGGCCATCATCCACTGCACTCCCTGGCCACAGCAGAGGGCTGGCCTGGAAGAGGGGCAACCGGGACAGAATCCGGCACCCCAACCGGGACTAGAACCCGGTGTGCCGGCGCCGCTAGGCGGAGGATTAGCCTAGTGAGCTGCGGCACCGGCCCAAAACTTAAATTTTTTAAAAATTAGGATTTTCTTTGTAGTTAAACTATTATATTTTTTTCCTCCTATAGTGCAAAGATATAAGCCAAGAATTTACTTTTTTTTTTTTTTTTTTTTTTTTTGCTTTAGTCATTTGTATTCCAGAAAGCACAACAAGAAGGATACAAGATTGATTTTTTTTTTAAATGTGTGTCTTCTTGAGAGTATGAGTACTGAGTGGGGGGCAGTAGGGGGAGGTGTTACAAAGCAATAGAAGCATGCAGCTAGTTTTCAGGCGCAGGTTGGACTTTGCGGGTCAAGGCAGACTAGAGGAGTAGCTTATCTTGAGGGACACAAGTAATAGACCAAATATAGAGCAGCTATTTCAGGAATCATGTAGGTCATTTAATTATCCATTATGATTGAGTGGCTAATGCTCTTTTGGCAATTACATGACCTCTGTTATTCTTGAAACCTTTCCAGGCCCTCGTGGGTCGAATGACCCACCAGTCAGTGCTCTCAGACTTCATTCCACTCAAAAGGAAAGGAGATGTTGGGAACCACTGGCATTTAGAAATGGCTGTGCTACTGACCACTACCCAGAATGTCCTTTGTACAGCAGTCAGTGATAGGCAAGTGGTTTTAAAGTCTGTTGTTCCTTCATTGTGTGCAAGAGCCAAAGATGTGTATTGGTTTCTAAAAAGAGACTTTAAGCAGAACAAAGTTTAATACCAAATTTGACTATTAATGATATTCTCAGCTTCTATACTGAAAGAACAGGTACTGTGGTATTAAAATTGATGTTTGATAGCTGTCAAACCAGTTTTCCATTACCAATCTCTGAAGTTGTGAAATGTTTTTTTTTATTCCATAACACAACAAAGTATTATTGATGATAGCTAATAACAGATTTTAATAGGTTACTAATAAAAATTAGCCCAATTTGAATTCCAGTGCTAGAAAGATCATTAAATTAAATCGACAGGCCACTTTAAAATTGAGGTGCTGATCAAAGAGAAAAATTTGGGAACATTTGGATGAATGTTTCTGACTTAATTTTTTATTTTAATATTTTTACTTATTTTATTCAACAAAGAATCATTAATATTTCCAAAAGAAACTCTTTACAAATGCTAAGAGATAGTAAAACTCCTTTGTTTTACTTCATGGCATAATTCTGGAAAAGAAAATAGTGGAGATTTCTTGTGATTGTTTAGATTGAGGACAGCTATGGTATGCAAAGTAATATCCACATAATCAGATTAATTGTAGGATTTGTCAAAAATGCATCACCGGAATTGTACATGGTTAGCAATGTGCAAGATTAGATATAGAGCCTTTCTCTAACTTTCCAGTAATTTAAGACCTTAGGCTAAAAAGAAATAATTTTGCTAGGATAAGACACAAATGTGCACTTTAAATACAAACTCTTTTAATTGCTGTAGAAGAAAAAAAATCCATCCTATTGGAGAATAATAAAAATATTTTCAAATCTGCTACTTATTAAAGAACATTATTTTAAACAACAGAAACATACAAGGTTGTTTATACCAGAGACAGTAAAATTAGCCATCTTCCCAGTGAATTTATTAAAGTACTCCTGGTAGAACTCCAAGTTAATCTGTTTTGGTTTTGTTTTCATCTTATTTGGTAATATTAACAAATGAAAAATTGAAGACATGGGTTAATATGTATAACCTTTGACCCTTCAGAAATGGAAGACTTTTCACTTAATTTAGGCCAGTTCTACCTTAGTGTCTGGCTACTTAGAGACCTAAGAGGATACAGTCAATGTGAAGTTATGTTAGCTGTTTTAAAAATATATATATTTTCCCTTACTCTATTTTTTTTTAATTTCAGCATTATGAGATGAACAGAAAATGAGAAAGCAGGATTTATAGTAAAAGCAAAAGTTACTGATTAAACTCAAGAATTCTGAATAAGGAACATAATTTATTTAGCATTTTAAGAGAAAAGCAGGTGATATAAAGTATGATTTTTTTTTAAATGTTCCTGTTCTTTTTGATACCCTTAAAACCTTTGGTGCACCATGTGTTTCAGCTTTGGTACCAAAAATTTATAAAATCAGTGAAAGGACTGGTATTTGTAATCTTAAAGACCTGAAAAGTCAGTAAGACCATATAATTAGGGGGAAAGGCTACAGGATAATAATAAGCCTATAGAGTAATTTCCAGTCTTAACCTAGCCCAATCTGGTTTTCAGAATTACACTTACTGACTTGGGGTGGTTTTATTTTCATTCCAAACTGGGTAGGCATTTGAAGATACTATCAGATTTAAAGGAACCTTAAATTCCTTTAAAGATATTGTTGAATGGCAACACCAAAGCAAGGAAGCTACTCAGGGTGATCAAAGTCATTCATCTAGCAAAAGAAAAAAAAAGTCAGAACCAAAGGTGACAGAAATAATAATTCCCCAGAAAGAAAGGATTTTGGCATATATCCCAAGAGTTCTATGTTCTCAACACTATTTTGAGAAATCAAAAATATCTACATAATGTAGATGTCTTTGAGTTAACAAAAAATAAGCAGTTGTCCTTATTAGTAGAATCACAAATGTTTGCTTCTTAATTCATACAAAACTATAGTAGAGGATCTCTGGATGATTGTTTAAATACAGCAGCAAGAAAATTGTGGCATGACTGGATCTGTCTTAAACACAAAATCATGAGGAAAACAAAACTTCTAAGATTCATTGGATAAAAAGGTAAGAGAAATAACTTTATTTTTGTGTATTTTGTTCACATGGTGGGTGTGCTTATTAAATTATTATGTCTTTCTGTCCCAAAATCCCTTGGTGAATTTTTATTATTTTACCATGTTTATTTAGCTACTTTGTGCATTGTCTCTGCATTTTAAACAGTGTAAACGTATGTGTCAAACTTTTTTTTTTTTCTTAATTCTGACAAAAACAATGTACAGGAGCAGCTTATTCAGATGCCTGCTTTGCAAATGTGTTTTGGTCTTTAAATATATATATGTACATATATGTGTTAAACACATTTGTATAAATAGATGTGGTTTGGTGACTTCTTTGACATAGTGAGCAGAATGAAATGTAAAAAAAAAAAAAGGAAAGAAAACCTTTGTACTTGAAAGGATGAGGTATGAAGTTTTTTGTTTGTCTTTAAATCAAAACTTTTGAACCAAAAAACCTTTGGAGTTTAAAGGGTCTATTACTTCTGATGTGGAGCATATTAACATAATTACAAACTCTTTTATTTACTCATAGTCACTGCTAAGTTGATGTTTAAACCTTTGATTAAGTCGCAAAGCTGAATATGTTCAGACAGCTGTGTAATATCTCGTCTTCACAAAACAAATAATGGTTTTAGCTTTTTGTTTGTGTGTTTGTTTTGATCCCTTTTTGTTACTATGAATTTGTCTTTTTCTTATAGCCAGACTGTTAGTGGTAAAATATTAAAATATTGTATTGTGTAGTACTGGGACTTTAGAGCAAAACAGCACTGTTAATTCATGCCTTTGCCTTGTCACGCCCTGGTGTGGTTCATCTCTTCTGTCCTTCTTATCAGAGCATCTCAGTGCTTAGTTGAGCTTGTTTATCTTGAAAGAGCAGGAGGCAGGCTTTTAGGGAGTAAGCTGCATGTTCCAGTATAACAGGCACCAATGCTGTTTGACTTGAAAAACATTTGATCTCTTACATTAACAGCCCATGTCACTGTAATAGGGACCACAGCTGGGCTGCTGTTCAGTTTTCTATTATTTTAGCTTCGAAATAACTGTTAGTGCTGCTCCAAAATCTCCATCTATAAAATTGTGTGTTGGCTGTCCCCCCAGGACTCGTAAGTAAACAAGGTGATATGTGTGGCCAGAGGGAGGATATTCTGTTGGCTTTGTTTTGAATAATAACTCTCCCTATCTGAAGATGGGTTTTGTCTGATCCATGATAGAGTGCTGCTGTGACTTTGTATAAACTTACAGATCTAGCAGTATCTTGGATTTTGTTACTAATGTTTTTGCTCAGAGCTATTAATTATTCACTTTCATGTTTTCTAATTTTGAAGCATTTAAGTTTTAACAAAGCTTAACTCTAGAGGTCCTGCACAGTGTCCTTAAGTACAGCAGTTTGTACAGCCGTTATTGCAAATGGACAAATGAGTTTAAGGTATATGTTTATTAGACTAAAATATTGCTTTATTTTAAAATATTCAATTGTTGATAATTTCTGTGCCAGGGATAGTTTGATGCTTTGAATCAGTAGCTGGGTTAGAAGAACAGAAAACAAAATCTGTAAAATGATCTTGATGTTTTTTTCTTAAGAGTACCTTTTCTTTTGATAGGGGAAGGTTGGCAGTTTATTATAGTAAAAGCTTAATCCTCTCTTTCTCCTTTGGTGTGTCTTCAAGAATCTAGTTTGTTTTCTCATTCTTATTCTTTTCTGATATAACACTTACCAGGCAATCCAATACTTTCTTCAAATTTAACCTAAAAAATTATACATATGTATTTATTAATATGCATATATTAGCCAGCACAAGCATAATAGGTTGAAAAGCAGCCATCTATCTGGGGCATTCTTCTAAGTACTGAATATATCATGTGCATTGACATGACATATCTGTAATCTCTGAATTCAGAAAGCACTGAGTGTGCAGTAGGTTGTAAAACAGTAGTGTGTTTCAAGAATGTGTGCTGTGCAAATTCTGGCTAGTGAGGTAATGACAAGTGTTTGCCTGCATAGACAATATATTTTTCCCCCTGAGGTCCCCACACACCTAGTTTCCCTCAAGCTCATCATCTCTGTCAGGTTAATCAATAGGCACCGTATGGCAGAGGGTCAGTAATCAGTGTCATCGTGCCTTTAAATCGTGTTGAAAATTTGCTTAAAGCCTGGGCCAATTAACATCGAGATGATGAATGGATGGGAAGATGGGAAGAGCCTGCCGCTCAGGGGCTTTGTGAGGAGGAGATGCTCAGCTGTTGAGCAGCAGACACCAGCGAATAAAATCAGCCATTCATGTGAGCTCAGTCCACCCACTCTTAATGATAATGTCAATCTAGCAAAATATATACACATTGGAGTTGTCACGAGTTCATAAATCAAAGGAGTTTGTCAAAGGCATTCAGATTAACGAGGCAGCAGCAATAACAAGTCAAATTTGCATAGAGAATTGCTCGAATCTCAGTAAATTATGATCCTGTTTTTCATTTGATTATTTGCTAATGTCTCAAGAGGGAGAATGATTATATTAGCATGCAAAATCTACTCTAGAAGTAGAAATCCGAGGTATAGAAGACCAGCACACTATGACAATTAATCAGTTTCTGCATACTAGCATAAATGCACAAGGCCCAGAAATGAACTTCTTTTTTATTATTATTTCTCCTTGCTACTGATCCAAATGGTTCAGCTTGACAGAGACTTTATATTGCTTTAACAGTGTTCTGAATTGTGCCTGCAGGCAAGACATAGTTATGCAGCTATAACCAACCTATCCATCTGCCAACCAGATTGGAATTCTCCTATCCAAGGCTTCCATTAACCCCCACTGACAGCTCCAAACAGGATTAAGGATTTGGAAGCATAAAAAATAGTTGTTCTTTGCAAATATACACAATCCCTTTGCATTTTGAGAAAGGCTGCATCTGTAGTGTTTTATAATTAGTGTTGGACAATGGAGCAGGGGAAAAAACCTACTAGGCAGTTTTTTTGACTTCTGTCACGGGGAGTAAAGCAGTACCAATAGAAGTCTTGTCTGGTTGTCCCAGAGAGTGCTTTCCCGTTCTGTCTGGTTCCTAGCACCGTGCCTGGACTGGTGTATTACTAGAAGACAGCACTCCTTGATGTTTTAAGCAGTGGATCTGTTGAAGTTTAGCAGTAGAGAGAGGCTTTGATGTGGTTGTGGTTTAATCGAGTATGGCAAGTGATAAACGTGCTGGAGAAGCAGTGTGCATGAAACACACCAGAGAGGAGTATCTTGTGAGGATGCTTCAGGTCCTTCCCCAGATTCTTCAGTCGGCTTCTACTTGTAAATTACCTGTGTTTCCCCACATTGTATCCTAGAAGGATTAATTAAAACTTGTTTAAATATACACACACAGTGTTTTTTTTTTTTTTACATCCCTTTTCATTGAAGTGTTTGAATGATTTTATCCATGTAGCTAAATTACCTTTTAACCTTATAGAAGAATGAGTTACTCCTATTTTTGTAAATTGCAAATCGTGATACTTGGAGGCCATAATTAGCTTTAAATAGCATTATAAGTTAATGGGAAAATTATTAATTCAATTATTAACTTACCAATGATGCTTGCTGTATGATGTTTGCAACAAGCTATTAGAAGTTGGTCTGGATTTTTTTCCTCATCTGGATTGTCATTCTACATGATGATGAGCAGATTCCTTTTTTTTTTTTTTTTTTTTTTTAAGGAAAAAAATCTGACTATTTATTTTAGAGTTGGGTGCTCGGGAGCTCTTGTAGGGGTGGACGTGCTTCCTCTCACCCATCCGCACTGGCTCTGTGGATGTCAGCCATGTGCAGGTCAGGGCAATGTTTGTTCTTGTGGATGTGTGCTTGTTGCTACTGTGGGTGGCGCAGGTAGGAGGAAGCAGCCTTTTGCTGACCTGATTGCCACTTTGTGACCACTTCCACTTCCACTCCACATCCACAGTCTTGGGGTCAGTCAGCCCGTTGTAGCAGAAGTTGTTGCAGGCTTTTAGTTTGTTGGGTTCGAAGCTGTATGTCTGCTAATTCCTGTTGATCAGGAAGTTGGAGCAGTTGCACACGACCATCTATTGCAGATGCACAGACATAGTGGTGGCTGCTGTCTTGGGCTGTAGCAGCTGGAGGTGAAAAGAGCTCCATTTTTTTTTTCAAAATGTGTTCAAAATCCGAGTAATAATTCCCCACAATTTACCTGCTTTACTAAAGTGATATAATTATCCTAGTTATAGAGTCTTTTGAATTATTCCAATGAAGAATGTAGTGTAGGTAGAAAATGCTCTTTGCTAGTTGGAAGCTGGTTATTTTATTTATAATATCTGTTCAAACAGGTTCAGGCTCTGTTGCACCATCCAATCTTGAGCACAATATTTATTCGAAGATTATTATAAGTCATTGAGGGGTTTGACTTTTCATCATTATGTAAATTTGTTTTTCATTTGATTATATAATCAACTCTTAATTATCCATGTTATCAGGAGTGGTGTGTGTTCAAACAGATAACTGAAAACAGTAAATAAGCCACTTAAGAAGTTATGGAGAATATTGCCCCAGCTATGACCGCACTATGTGTAACCATTAAAGTCTCTTTACTTGTTTTGGACACCATAAACAAAACAAAACAAAACTCTGAAGTTAAGAATGTTTGGTTATCCACAAAAGAACTTGTCTTCCAAAAAGAAGGTTGACAGATGTCTTCTTTAAAGGGCCAGGTACTAAACAGATGAGGCTTGTGACGTCTCTCGTGTAACTACCCACCTCTGCTACTGTAGTGTAAAAGCAGCCTGACAAAAAAGGCATATCTGCGTGTGTGGCTGTGTACCAGTAAAACATTATTTGCAAAAACATTCCATAGGCCAAACTTGCTAGCTTCTGCTCTAAATAATCATATTGGGGTGGGCATCTGGTGTTACAGTTAAGAAGCTGCTTGAAGATGCTAGGACCCCATATTTGGGGTATGTGGGTTTGAGTTCTGGCTGTGCTCCTGATTCTGGCTCCCTGCTCATGTGCACTCTGGGAGGCAGCAGATGATATGCTTGGGTCCCTACCACCTACATGGGAAATCTGGATTGAATTCCTGGCTCTCGACCTCAGCCTGGCCCAGCCCTGACACTTTTGGGTATTCGGGGAACAAACCAGTAAATGAGAGCATGTTTGTGCTCTGTGTGTCCTTTTTTCCTTGCCTTTCAAAGCTGCTACTTCATTCCCCAAATGTCCACAAAGCCTGGGACTTTGCTGAGTGGGAACTGGGAACTAAAAACACAATCCAGGTCTCCCACATGGGTGGCAGGAATCCACTGTTGCCTTCCACTTTGCACATCAGCAGGAAGCTGGAGTCAGGGATCTGGAGTTATAAAGTTATAAAGTGAACCCAGGTGCTCAGATACAAATGTGAGATTGGTTAACTGGCATCTGTCTACCCAAAGCAGGCCAGATGGCTTCTTCCTCTTGGAGCCCAGTTCAGTACCAAGAATCTGCCTTTTCCTTTATCAGTAAACCTGCTTACTGTCACTCCCTCCTGTTTGGGTCTCATTTTTCACCGAGGTGAGACAGGAACCTGGTCAGGTACTAACACCGGAATTCCTGCATGCCATCTAAGATAAACACCCATCCAGTAGTTGACTCTTGAATCTGGATTTTAGTGGATAAGATTGGAAAGAAGGCTATTGAGTGAATAAAACTAGCAAAAAGGATAAGAGTGCAAAAGGATAATAAATAATATCAAGGCCGGCGCCGCGGCTCACTAGGCTAATCCTCCGCCTAGCGGCGCCGGCACACCGGGTTCTAGTCCCGGTCGGGGCGCCGGATTCTGTCCCGGTTGCCCCTCTTCCAGGCCAGCCCTCTGCTGTGGCCAGGGAGTGCAGTGGAGGATGGCCCAAGTGCTTGGGCCCTGCACCCCATGGGAGACCAGGAAAAGCACCTGGCTCCTGGCTCCTGCCATCGGATCAGCATGGTGCGCCAGCCGCAGCGCGCTGGCCGCGGCGGCCATTGGAGGGTGAACCAACGGCAAAGGAAGACCTTTCTCTCTGTCTCTCTCTCTCACTGTCCACTCTGCCTGTCAAAAAAATAAATAAATAAATAAAATAAAAATGAATAAATAAATAATATCAAGTAAACGG